ATGATGACAAATGCTCTACAACTCTATGATTAGCTTAGTTAAGTATTATCCAGATTCTTGAAATGCTCCTTTGTTAGTTTCTTAAACAACTTACCTTCCACCATTAACTCACCTTTAATAACTTATCACTAGTCATAACACCAGGAAAAACACTACCTTTAACTTTCAATTAAATCAATGGGGCTGGGGGCCTCCCTGGTGGTACAAGCAATATGAGGCTATCCACAGCCACTGCAGCACAAGTTTGATCTCCAAGACTGGGAGGTGACCCACAAGGCATGGCAGACCTCTCCTGTCTCGCCCGCTGCTCCCCTCAGCAATGTACTTTGTCAATCTGCCTGTTCTGCTCCCCACTCTGTCTCTGGTGAATCCTCTCACCCCCTGCCCCTCTGGCCTGTATCCCAGTTCTGTATATAAATAAATTTTTAAAAATAAATAAGTAAAGCAAAACAAAAGCTGAAGGATCTGGGATGTAAATTAACTTGCAAGGAAAAGGCAGAGCCAGAGTTAGAACGCTTTCCACAGCCACACTACACAATGATAGGAAAATGCACTGCCACTCTTAATTTATCCTTTAAACCTCACCTTAGAATTTCTTTTATTAAAGCTTTCAATTAAAATAAACATATGAAATAAAGATTTCCAATCAACAGCAAAGGTAAACATTATAGATATGTCTGCTATCTTTAAAAGAGGTTATTATTTAGCATAATAAAAAAGATTTTAGAATAGTGAGATGCCCACCTACTTCTATTTATACCTCTCTGACTATTCACATCCTACATCCCCCCAAACCCTCCTTTTCTCCATTGCATCTTTTTAAATGTGTGGTCCTACCTGTACTGGTCTCACTCTACTCATTCTCTCTGAGTCAAAATCATGACAGTAAATGAACAATGACTATTCCAGAAGTACAAAACTATCACCGGAGTTACTAAAAATATCTAAATGCTTAGGCTCCACTTCAGGTTTAACTACTGAATAACAATCCCAGGAATGGAGCCCAGAGACCTCTATGTTCCCACTACTCTACGTACCTTAAGCAAGAACTATGTCCTATACTTAACACAGTAACTGGCACAGGTATAAGATACAAACAATATCTTACGAACATTGTTATAGAAACACAAAATGGCAAGTTTTTACCTCAGCTGCAGAATTGTGTACTGTTAAATTAGTTATTTTAGGCAGTTACATTAGAAAAACACCTTTCTATAGTAATAATACTAGTTATAAATTGGTTAAGGTTTTTAAATATTTCCCAGTATAGGTTAAAGAAAATCCCTGACTTTTTAAAATTCAAAAACTAAGACAGCCACAAAGGATTTAAATATAATACCAAATTAAACAAAAATAACAAGTTACAGAAAGTCAGAAAATCAAGGTATCTTGTTGACTTAACTGGAGACAAGAATTAACCTGCAAATTTCCACAATAGCATGTATCTGCTGTTGCCTTTTCCATAAAAAGTAATCAAATTCCCAAGAAAAGATTCAAGTTGACAATCTTTTCCTCCTGCAAATTTATTTTCAAATTCAATAATAAAGTCATCTAATTTCATACTGAAAAGTAGCACTGAGGAGCAGGGCATTTATTTGAATAAACTAATGAAATAAGTAAACAATGGATTTCTGACTTGAAAAACTTAAAACTTACTGTCACATTAAATGTTATTTTTAAAAGGAAAAAACCTAGTCAACCAATAGTTAAAGCTCCTATGAATATAAAGAGGTCTTTCATATCCCTCAAGGAGAAAATGAACAAAATCAAAAGGCAATTTATGAAAAAAATGCCAATGCTCGATATTAACATTTCAATCTCATTAATTAAAAAAGTATATTTTTAAAATGATCATTTTTATCCTAAGAAAGCCTGGATCGGGAGCTAGTGTATTTTTCTGAAAGCTATGTGGTAATATGTATCAAATTACTTGAAAATAAGCAAATCTTTTGGCTCAGGAATACTGTCCTAACAGGAAAACATTATATAGTCCTAGTGGTGTTTATGAAAGTCAGAAACTAAAAGTCCATGACAAAAGATTTGATTAAATAAATTAGTCACATATTCACTTAAGCACTAGAAAAACACTTCTCATTTTTGTAACTTGCTTTTTTTTTACCACTAAAAACATAAAAAGTACAGTGTAATTCTATTATTAAAAATATGTATAGCTTCCTAAGAGGTCTGGAAAGATAACTACAGCTCAAATTTTGGTACAACTCTCTGGACAGCAAGTTTATTTTCTCTTTTTCTTGCCTAGTAAGTTTGTTCTAACAATGTGCCCACATTACCAGTGTAAAAATGTAAATCTATTAACATAAAATATAAATAAAACATAGTTGAGATTTAGTAGTAAGTATACCATTTGGGGAAAAAATTATCTGGGATATGGAATACAACCTGCTCTTTAATTTATGGGATTACTAAATTTGAACTTTTAACAAGGAATAGTTTTATATATGTATATATAAATATATATATAATGTATAATATATATACATATATATGTATATATAGTCAGAATTCCATTAAACAGACTAGAAAAGAGTTTTCAAAAATCAGACATGGAAACATGGTAAAAGTAGGCCACCTAAAAAAAAATTCCCCAGTATTTTGTAGGTCTTATAGATCATTTCATCTCCATTTATTCTCTTGCCCCTAAATTAACAAAGAATGATGTCATATGCATTAGCTACATCTCTGAGAGTGACATGAACTTGTAAGGCTGGGGCTCAGTGATGAAATAAGAACAGAGAAAGGTGGATGAGATTTAACAACGTGAAAACAGACCATCAGTTAACTAAAAATACCCATGATTTTTAAAAAATAATCTATGGTACCAATAAAGCTTGGTAATAAGTTTGAAAATATCAGTTATTGTAATAGTTGTAATACATGAAGAGAACTTAAAGGTTTTACTGTCGTTATTTTGATCGAGTTGGGGGTGGGGAGGGAAATAAGCAAATTTCCCTAGTGACCAAAGAACTGTCATATTGTTTAGGACACTAAAAAGAGCACCAAAAATTATCTTTATTTTACAACTTTTCGATTTCCTACATAGACTGAATTATCTCTATGGCTTGCTTGAGGTTTCCTCTACTCAGTAATAGAACTAGTATCACTTTACTATTATTCAAAACACTGATTTCAAATGGGCCGAAATAGATTGCTGGACGTTTAAGAGTTTATTGTTTACTAGTCAATTCTGTCAAAATCTGTTCATCATGCAGCAAAAGTTTAGGTAGTGACATAGTACTACTTTGTCAGTGAATATTTAGTTACCGAATTTCAAGGGAGAAAAAAAGCAATGACTGACATACAAGACAAGAAACTTGCTGTTCATGCATAGTTACCTTCTACGTACTGTAACTACCCTGTGTTAAATGTGCACTTAGACTCCATTTTTATCCTTTATTCATAACTCCATTCACCATAACTGTTTTTCCAAAGAAATGAAAACTTTTGATTTCCTAAAGCTCAAAATGCAAAATCTCGTCCACTAGTTTAAATGAGATGTAGTTATCAACTTTAACGAAGATTAACTTACTGATCACGAAATATCAGAGAAAGGAATCCAGGAGCAGAAAGCCTTTACTTTCTAACTCACAATAGAGTCTTGTCCACTAATAGACAATAACATTGTTTGTTGTTGTTGTTGTTGTTTGAGCTGCAAGGCCGGGTATGCAACCTGCAGAACTATTCCAACAGCTTCAACTAAGTCATATGTTACAACTGGAAAAAGTAGCAGTTAAGTCCCAAACCAACCGCTAAAGAGTAGATGCAAGCAGACGCCTCACCGTCAAAAAAGAAGGCCCATCAGCACGTCTTCCGAGAAATAGTCCCTTCCCCCACCTTTAAGTAGGCACTTAAGACTGCCAAGCAGATCTATTTCTTTATTAACTGGAGCCCACTTGGGGCAACCGTACACCAAAGCTGCTCTTCGGCCTACTCTAAACCATTCCAAAAGTGCACAAGTTGAGACTGAAGGCCGGGGTAACCCTCTTGGGCGCCCAGTTCTTCATGCACTTCTCCACCACCCCCCTCTGCCCCGCCCCGCCCCTGTAGGAGCTCCTGGGTCCAGAGGAAGGACACCGGACCCAGGGACATGCAGGAATTGCCCGCAAGAGCAGTCTCAGGCGGCCGGCGGCCTCCGCCATAGCCTGACCAAGAAAGCACCGCCCCCAGCGTACCTCCCCACACCCGGCTAACCCGCGACGGTCGGCTTTCGACACCCTCAATTCCCAGCAGAGGCAGCGAAGGAGACAAGAGCCGGGAGGCACCGGGCTGGGCTGAGAACCAGGCCCAAGCCTGCCCCTCCGGGCCGCGCGGGTCGCCAGAATCCTCTCCCCGGTCCGGCCCGTTCCGGCCAACGCGGCGGCCACCCTCACCTGGATGACCTCGTTGACCTCCCGGATACATTCCACCATGTGTTGCAGAATCTGCTCGGCCGTGAGCACCTCGTAGCGGTAATCCTCCTCTTGCTCGTGCCCCGGCCCGCCGCCGCCGCCGCCGCCGCCCGTCTCCCCGCACAGCAGTCCGTCCCGCTCCCCGCCGACGCCCAGCCCGGGCTCCACCAGCTCAACCTCGCCCAGATCCAGGTTATCATCGTCTGGCTCATCCTCGTCCTCGTCCTCCTCCTCGGCGCCGCTGTCCTCCTCGCTGCACTCTTCGTCCTCGTCGAACTCATAGTTGTAGCCCTCGTCCGAGTCCATGGCGCGACGCGCGGGGGCCCGGCGGACGCTGGCCCTGAGGCGGGGAGAGGGCGGGGACGCCGAAGCCCCGGCTCTCGCTCCGGCTCCGGCTGATGTCCGGACGCAGGCCTGGCTCCGGCCCC